GAGCATGCGTATCAGTTTGAAACTGCGCATGTTTGGAACTGCAATACGCACAACAAATTAATTCATGAATTTTTATGAATTGGAAGTAATATTCAACTTAGTTTCATCGTAAACGAATGATTTCGGTCGAATGTAAATGCGATGCGAAATCCGCCATGTTATTTCAGTACACATGGCTCATTTAAATATGTTAATGACGGTTCAGTGACCTCGTGGTGAACGCAACATGGGATTCACCGATGTTGTAGCAAGATCTTTATGCTTTGATTTTGACGGGGAAAACGGCATGATTTTTTTTAAATCGAAAAATTAGTTGTTTTCAAAAAATAAACTGAGCATTCAAAGAATAATTTAACATTGTTCACAGTAATAACAGCCCATTGTCGAAACGAAGCTTACCCATTCACGCTATTCACAATAAACATGATACTCTTGAATAGGTGTCAATGACTACGGTAAAATATAAATTAGACTCTTTTTAGACGTCAGGAGTGAATGAAATATCCAAAATATTAAAAAAAAACTGCCGAAAAAACGCCGGGCGATTTCATGGTCTGCTCACAGTTCCTGTGGACGGACTGTGGTCCGTTGCAGACTGCTCGACCGACCGTCCATACACGTGTTGTCACTGTACATCCGCCATGTTGAATCTGTTGAATCACACAAGATCGGCAAAATCTTCATTACAACTAACAGTTTAATGCTCACAACATAAAAAATACGAATATAATCATAGGCAACCTGCTATTATATAATGAATAAATTGATCTACACAGGGACATTCTTTCCCCCCCCCAGAGCTGTGAATATTTTGGAAATTGCTACACAAGCAAAAGACCGGAAAACTATTTACTGGTACTTGAAAACTATGTCCTCGTGAATTAATCGTTCGTGTACAATTATTTGACAGGGTATACAATTCACAAACTAGTTTCGTAGATTAGAGACAATTGTTTGCTTTTTTTTGGCTTTTACAAGAATATAAAGCTGGCAAATCATCATAATATTTACTTCCGTACGTCACAGAATGTATACCAATCGTACCCCAATAAACTGGAAAACTTACCTTTGCAAACACGTCTCTTATGCCGCCTTCTTGAAGTTCTTGAAATGATGATTGTTTAACATTTAAATGATTGACATTTGTATCTGATCGTCAAATGAGTATTGAGAGATATTGCTCTGGAACAGCATTAATTAAAACAAAATCAGCCATTATGTATATATGTATAATGAATATATAAAATTTGAACATAGTCAGTCAAAGCATGTCAGAGATATGGCTCTAGAAGCCCATTCATTAAAACAAAATGGCCACTAGTCAGCCATTCAGAATCCGATCTAAAAAATAAAA